AGCAGGAGACCGGCGCCACCTTGCAGTGGCGGGAGCGGCTCCCGACAAGCCAGGCTGCTCCTATACCAGATGAGTGTCACTTCCCCAAGCACAGAACAGTGGTAAAGCAGTCAGAAGCAGAGGGCCTCGGGTCATAGGCCAGCTGTGGCCTCCGCCTAGCGTGACCACAGCCAAATGACTGAAGCCCTCTGTGTCTGTCTCCCTAGCAGACTAAGCATTTAGTATAAGACCCCACAGCGTTGTGGGTCTCTGAATTCAGTCACTGTCCTAGTTTCCTCCTGTTGCTGTGATGAACTACCCTGACAAAGGCAACTTAAAGGAGAAAGGGATTCTTGTGGTTCGAAGCCACAGGTTAGAGCCCACCGTGGCAGGAAAATCACAGCAGGAGGAGCTTGAGTGGGCTGGTTTTGTTACATCCAAACTCAAGAAGCAGAGAGCTTGCGTTCAGAGCTTTCCCCTTTCGGTACAGTCCAGGTCCCAAATCTGAGGAACAGTGCCAACCACTTTTAATGTGGATCTTCCCAAGTAACCTGATCAACATAAATCCTTTATCCACATGGCCAGAGGCGACCGTCTTGAAGGTGAGTGGGAGGCTTGTCCCCAGGCGACCGCAGATTCTGTCAAGTGACAATTACACTGATCAACATAAACACGCAAAGTGCTTAGGCTAGTGCCTGCTACCGAGGGTGGTCTGTCTCTAGTGAGGACCCGGAGACTCTGGAAGGTCCCTGGATGACCTTCCTGTTCCTGTGACAAAATACCCAACAAGATCAGCTGAAGGAAGGAAGGGCGGTGCTTAACTCACGGTTTGACGGGTCACAGTCCATGACGGCAGAGAAGGCGTGTGCGTGGGAGCTTGAAGGAGCTGGCTGCCTTGAATACACAGTCAGTGTGTTAGTCAGGGTTCTCTAGAGTATCAGAACTTAGAGAATGACCGAGTGTGTGTGTGTGTGTGTGTGTGTGTGTGTGTGTGTGTGTGTGTAGCTGTGTCTGTGTGATTTATCAGAATAACTTGCAGGCTACGATCACAGTAACCCAACAGTGGTTGCCTATGAATGGAAGCTCCAACAGTCCAGGAGTTATTCAGTCCATAACGCTGGATGTCTCATCTGCTCTTTGGTAGATGCTGGCATCGCAAAGAAGTAGGCTCTAATGGCGGTGAAGGAATGGACTTGCTAGTGAGGTGAGAGCAAGCAGGCAAGGAGAGAAACTTCCTTCTGCTAGATCCTTTATATAGGCTTGCAGCAAGCTGTGGTCCAGATCAGAAGTGGGTCTTCCTACCCCAAAGATCAGGATTAAATGCTGATCTTTCCACTTCAAATGATTAAGCAAGAATCCCTCACAGGGGTACCCAGCCATCTGGGTTTTAGTTAATTACAGAAGTCATCAAGTTGACAACCAAGACAAACCATCACAAGTTCACTCCTTGTCAACTTGACACACAGTAATAACTCCTTATGTCATGATTAATCTCCAAATGAAACAATGACCAGGTCATAACTATGCCTAACGTGATATAACTATCCCTCGAACAAATGCATTATAAATTTAGAATAGGTGGTAATGCCCATTGAGAGATATTCTTTTAGTATCTTGAATATAAACATGATAACCATTGATATTCTCTTAACTGATGTTACCACACATGATGAAGAAATTGGAAAAAGAGCACACGAATAAGCCGAGAGGTAGTGGTACACATCTTTAATCCCAGCCTTTGGAAGGCAGAAGCAGGCAGATCTCTGTGAGTTAGGGAGGCTAGCCTGGTCTACAAGTTTATACACAGAGAAATCCTACCTCAAAAAAATAAAAAAAGAAAGAAAACACAAATATCTTTTTCATAAATTATTTAAAAATTTTATTTGATATGCGTTGGTGTGAGGGTGTCAGAACTGGAGTTACAGTCATCAGCTGCCATGCGGTTGCTGAGAATTGAACCTGGGCCCTCTGGAAGGGCAGCCAGTACTCGTAACCTCTGAGCCATCTCTCCAGCCCCACAAACACATTCTTAACAAAATGTCAATTATAATCCTCGTTTTTGCAACTGGTCACGTGGCCTTAGCTGGTATTTGTAACTACTTTCCTCTACTACACAATCTGTGTTTCCTCCACCCTCAGCAAGCACCTCAGCAGCTCTCGGCAATGTTCCTGGAGGAGTGACCCCCACCTTCATTCCTGATGGCTCTGTGCCCTTTGTCATCCTGCCTGGATTAGGGCCTTTGACTTTAATCACAGGACACAGTAGCACCAAGAGATGCCTGAAAAGATATCCTGCATTCTTTCTTACGCCACTGGGGAGAAGCAATCCACCTTCCCCACTGTGATTGGGATCAGCCCTAACACTGCTGTCCCTTTCTTGGCCTGTTGGTCTAAGGGCATCAGAAGCCCAATGTTGCCAGGGGAAGTCCGAGCTTCCAGTTCAATGGAGTGTTTATTGTGGCCCCTGTGAAGAGCAACCCCTGCCCCCCACCCGCTCACCCCCACAACTGGATCCAACATTTTTAGGCCAGCAGCACCCCTTGATTGCTGGCTGTGGGAGAAACCGTACCATATATCGGACGCTGATTCAACACAAATACCACCTTTTGGAGAACTGTGTCCCAGCTCTCCAGGTTACTGACACCTAACAGACACTGAAACTGTGTTTTCAAAAGGCCCTTCCCCAACAGCCTTCACCCCTCACAGCCTGTGACAGGCAAGAGAGATGACCCTGAGGTCATGAGAGCTGGAGAGCTGGAGAGCTGGCCCTGCCCGTTGCCGGCTGAAGCACTGGGGGAGAATGGGCCATGCGCCTCACCTGTATATAGCACAGTAGAGCTAGCCCTGGTGTCAGGGACATGGGTGAGCCCGCCCCAAGGCTGTGAGAGCGGGAGGGCTGGCTCTGCTCCTCCCTCACCTGCTGTAGCCCTTGGGTGAGCTAGCCGGGGCAGTGCTGGAGCACTTGCCCTGGTGGTGTGGGTGCTAGAGAGCTGGCAGGATGACCGACTCAGCTACCACCCACACCCAGATCCAGTACTTTGAGCTGGCCCACTCCAACATCTAATCTACGAACTGCTGGAGCATGTGACGGGGCCAGTCCTGCACTGTTAAAGCTGCAGGATCTCCATGACACAGGGCAACAGCAGGGTATCTGAGAGGAGTCCCAGTGAGAATCTAGCATGGATGGTGCAGCAGAAGCCAGAGGCCTCAAGCCGATCCAATGACTCATTGCAATGAGCATTGGCAAGT